CTGGAATCACAGTTCACTGAGAACATGCAACGTAACTACGAACTATTTCTGCATGAATATAGGAGGGTATGCTGTAACACATGACATAGTAAGGTCAGTTAACTTGAAAAAACACTTTTCTCACATTTTTAATCAACTTATAAAAACTTTATTCAAGCTTATACAAGCTTATACAAGCTTTTGTGGACCTTGAATGAGACAAGATATATATACATATATACGTTGGCAGCAATACTTGTGGTTTAACAAAGAAATTGCAAAGTAACTGTCAAATATTTGGAGACCATTCATGTAAAACCAGTATCTAACGTGATACAGTGCCTGATGTTAAAGCATGTTAAGTTTTCACAGATGGTTACAGTTTCATAACTCCACTTCCCTGTGTAAATGTGTAAACAAAAAACAAAGAAAACAAACAAAAAACCCACAAGTTCTTACAACAGCAGTCAAACATCTGTTGTTTATTTTCTACATCTTTGTAGTAAAAACTGAAATAGGCACTTCAGTTCTCAGTAGAAATAATGGCTTCACTAGCAAGTTAAGAGGTGCTATCAATTTCAAACAATAGCTCTAAGTGGCAAAATATTATAATTCTTATTATGCTTCTCCTCTCATGCTGAGGAACTCTGTAGGAACTTCAGTTCTAATCTGAAATTGAAATTTTGCCTTCAAATGAGCTTTAACATGTAGGCAAAAGATAAAATAGCACATACATCACATTGCTCTTTCCAAGCTCAAAAAAGAAGGAAGGTGAAGTCTTTTCAGCTACGATTTTTTCCTTCCCCTCCCTTTAGTATCTGTTGTCTCCACTACAATTTGAAAAAGGAAAATGACCACTGAGTTATATCCTAAATATAGTATTTCTATCCCTCTTATCCTTCTCTGCATCTCTCACTAGCTTTTTCATGGCCTTTACCTGTTTGTCCTCCTTCATTTCCCAGAAAATTCCCATTCCCATGATTAGAAGTTATATATGCATTGTTAGGAGAAGCAATGGATAATGGCACTGGTGTTTTTACACCTAGCACAAACCCTAGCGTGTGTACTCAGTTTTTAATCAAATTATCTGAAACATTTAGGAACCATAATTTACAAGAATTTCACCTATTTAACAAATGGCATAAATTAGTTAAAACATTTTGCTGTAACATATTAAGATACTTAAAAAATTGCTTGATATTAAATATATTATTAAATGAATGCTTACTATTAAATATTAAAACATAGAAATTGATATTTAAGAGTAAATATGCAAGAAAATACTAACAAATTTCTATTTTAAGGATGTCTAGACTCCACAGACAAAATAAGCTTGGCAACTTGTACTCACCTTTTAGCCTTGGAAATCCAGATTTTCATTTTTCACTCTGTATACAGGCATAAATATACAAGTATGCACACACACACTATCATTTACACTGTACATTTTAACTGTAAATTACTGCAAGATCAAATGTATTCAAAAAGATAATGTATTAATTCAGAAAGCTTGAAGAAAAGATGTGTATTACAGGCTAAATAAAGACACCAGAAAGCTCCAGTAGAAGGTAGATCTTGGGATCTGTAGACATGAAAGAACTGTCTTTTTTTAAAAAGAAAAACAGTCTGTTAATAGATCTTTTAATTCTGCACATTGACTCATATGTTCTCTGTGTTCCCAACTCTGCTGCCAGCACTGGTTTCCCAAATCATATATTCCTGTCGTATGTTCCTAAGTCATATGCCTTCAGATACATCTACACAGATATTATGCAGATGCAATAGAAATATGACTGTTAAAAATGGAAGGGTTGTATACATGCACTAGTCAAGCGCCACTGCAAGATTGTTAGGAAGTTACTTTTCATGTTCACATACAATTAGATCAGGATAACTGTGCAAGAAAGCAATGAGGGAAATACTACACAGACAGGGAGAGAAGAGTTGAACTGCCTACAATCTTGATTCCTTGCTTAAACAGAATTTAATAAAGGATAGTTTAAAATGAGATTTTCCATAAAAACTAATTAGTACACAGAATGCATCAATTTAAATTTGCTAAAAATATTTTTTTACTCGATGATGACAAACATACTTACAATTAAAGATGGATTATACTGCATTCTGAGATATTTTTTTTTCTTCTTCTTCCTTATAATCTCTGAAATGAGGAACAACTAGCCAAACTGAGGATAAAAATTATCAATGTGAGTGACATATAAGCCAAAAGGTAGGCGGTACATTTCCAAGAAGCTGAAAAGACAGACCTTCCTACAGTGAATACAGCTGCATAATAGTATTTATAGCAGTTATTTTGCCATTAATTCTGAGAGAATTTTGCATAAAATATTTGCTTTTCCGTGTTCTCCAAAATTCACAGATTTATCATACTAAAATTCAGAAAGAAAACGAGGAAGTATCTTCTGTATTCCTGCTTTTTTCGAGTACCAAAATCTCTAGTGTTGCAGGCTTAGTATCAGCCCCAAAATGGTGCCTGTAAATGATGATGAACTGTGTTTCTGAAGTACCTGGTTCACAGTGAGAACCATGATCAGACAAGAAGAGGAGAAGACAGCTCTGTAACACATCAGGGCTTGCATTCTTGCTGGCATTTGTGTCCATAGCACCATTTCACTGCTCATAACTTCTATGAAGATGGGCTACAAGGAGCAGGGCCAAGCTCTCGCCTGTTTGGAGCCACACAACTGGGGAGAGCAAGGCCAGGCTGCCCTCAGCGGGGAGACCAGAGCACCCCGACAACAACATGCACCAGAGAACCAGCTGGAAAGCTGAGTCAGCAACCAGGGCCCGGTCTGGTGAGGGTAACCAGGGTCTGACACAGAATAGCAAGCACCAGGCAACTCCACAGTGAGGGAGCAGGTCTGAGGTCAAGCCAGAAAACCACGTGTGTGGGCCGATGTGAATCACTGAGGTAAGGTGACCAGGTACAGCATCCCTGAGAATGATGCTGGCTCAGTGTGAGCAGCCAGATCCCTGGGAGAATAAGGTCATGTGCTCTGGGCCATGACATGATTTTATATTTCATCAAAGCTTTTCCCTGGCACAAGAGATCATTCCGGCGGGAGATCCTCCAACTCCTAAAGAGCTGATGCCAAAGCTTTTAAAAGACTAAAAATGGAGATAACAAGAGAAACAACAGGCACTACCAGCATCAACTGCACCAGTGGCAATTTTTGACATAACTAGCACCAAGAGCAAGAGAATTTATTTGAGGCCTTTCTCCTTTCCCCACTACCCTCTTAGAAAACCACACCATGAAAAAATGTGCACAAAGTTTACTCACTGAGAAATACCTTGATGTTTGACATCTCCATTGAGCCTACAGTATTAAATCAACGCACTGTGTGATAAAGCAGTATTTGAAATGCACATGATGAAAATTCTCTTTGTGAATGACTTGCACAGGAGCTAAATTTATGCATCTGCTTCAGAGAGGAAGTCTTGTATCCTTTCATGAAATACAGGAGTTCACAGCAACTGAGAAATCTGCTAAGCATCCGAAGTGCATCCTGGAAGTCTGGTGCCAAAATGTCCAGTAAATGTCAATTCAAGTCACATATATTTATTGAACACAATGTCCAAATTAAAAAAAAAAAAAAACTCTAAAGAGAAAGGAGATTTTCACATGCTTCACTAGCTTTATTCTTAGTAAAAAAAAAAAAAATTAAAGATGGAAAGACCTATTAAAGTAAGGTTTCAAATGGAATCAGTGCTCCACTTAAATTTCATAAGTAGTTTGAACTTAGATACAAAACCTAACCTCTACATTCCTATACTAAGATACAAAGACAATTACACAGTATTCTTATAAGATTTTTATTTCTTAAAACGCTGGATTTTGGCAAAACATGTGTTTAATATAGTTATTTAATAAATAAGCCAATTAACACACACTTACAATATCATCTATGGATTTGCATAAAATTGAAAACAGCATTTCCCTTGGGGGATTTACATATGGCAAATTGGCTCTTTTGTAACAGGCCCTTCTGCAGCAGTCCCCTGTTATCACAAATGATTAGTGGATCACCAAGATACATCACCTACTGCAGTCAGCAACAAACACACACTGGCATTTTAATGATTAAAAAAAAAAAGTGTGTTTGATATGTGAAGTCAGTAGAGTTCAACCAACTACAGCGGCTGACATTTTCCTCTGAAGATGGATTCCCACATGACAGGTTTCCTGTCTATCTGAGAAGACCAAAAGGCTGAAGCACATAAGGAAAAGAGGAGAAAGGAATGAAAGGACAACATATAAAATCACAACATTGCTGAACTGAAATAGAAACAAAGCTAAAATTGATGTCATAAAATTAATAACCTTGATGAAGATTGACTCAATTCTTCTACTGTACTAGCACATGAAAAGAAAACAAGCAGCGTAATGGAACAATTTTCTTTCTCTCCACTGAATATAAGTCATGAACCAGATAATAATTATTTCTAGCAGCTGTCAAAGGCTTGATTCCCCTTGCTACACAATTCAATTGCCCTTCAAGTGATAAAACAGGTGCAAATATTAATTCACTCTCATCTTCTCTACTTAGGCAACAATCAAGCTAGAAACTATCAGCAAGTAGATAATCTTGGATCATCATCATGAGGGATATTAACTGAAATGATTGATCAACTCAGTTTAGCCTTCCATAGACAAAAAATTCCTACACTTTGTATTTAATTTTAAGGTAAACCTTGATGCAAGCACAATTAATCACAGAAATGTATCAGTGGCAACGTCAATTAATTTTTGTTCAAAGCAGAATTAGTTGGAAGACTAAATATTTATCATGAAAACAGAAGCTAAAAGTAGTGCTTGAATCTACTTACCAAACTAATTGCTGCTTTTAGATTTATCCTTATAACCCTATTGTACAACTTTATTGATAGCAACTTATTAAAAAGCATGATAAAGAGGCTGTGACTTAATTTTTAAAAGTGACTTGTCATAGTTAACTACATATTGATGCTTAGAAACATTAAAAAAAAAATTCACACACAACGCTATTTGACATCACACAGAAGTGCTACCCCACGCAGGATCCAGTGCTCAGGAGGCTGAAGGGTTCTAAGATCCACAGTAGCTATGTAATTCAGATCCGTTCTAACTGTTTTCTTGTAGATAGGACACGAATAGAGGCATGGATCTTTTGAAGCTGAGAATAGAGAAGAGACATGAAAATCAGTGAAATGGGGTTAAACCGACTAAGCCTTAAAGGTCTAGACACAAGGCAAATGTAAAAATGTAAGTTATACCTCTATAAAGGATCAGTTTCAAAAAATTCTGGCAAAACAGCAGGCTTTGCTTTTGGAGGAGCTTTGTTAACCAACAAGATCCCAATTCTACATTCAACATTAGATATTTCTAGTCCTTGCACATTCCTATTCAACAACACTTCCTTTTGTATATGCAAACAAAAAATAATTATATATAATCTAGATTGTTACCCTTCACTTCCCTAGTTTTCCTTTTATTCTCACAGACATTTTCTTCCTCAAAGAGCAGAATATCTTCCACCACATCTCTCCATTTCTTGTTTCTTATTTCTCAGGCATAGCCTCGTCCAGAAAAAAAATGCAGTTATATATATATATGTACATATACATTTGTATATAAATATGTATAGGTGTATGCATACTGCAGAGATATAGTTTGAAGTTCCGCTTCAGAACTGTTACACTGGCTTTTGAAATCGGAAAAAGATGTTATTTAGGTTCAGATTTAGGGACATCAGCTTCTCAGCTGTTTTGATCATCACCTCGAGCTTACTGCCATTTCACAACCATCTAGGAGACGCATTCTGCAGCTAACCTTGTTTCCAATATATATACTTCAGTTATGTAAGCATTCCTACTGGATGTTTATCTAGCTCTTCAACATACCAATGAGAAAAGTAGACTAACTTCATTTGCCACACACCACAAATACACCAGTATACAAAGCAGGCCTTTATGTTTCCAATTTTATGTTAATATCATCACTGGAGTAGACATTAGCATTATAATAATGTAGGTGTTTTTACAGAGAATTATGAACTCTAATTGTAGATGAAATATACTGCTAATGGAAAACTAAACGCAAGCCTGTTTGGCAGATGAATCAGAGAACAGCTCATTTGTAATGAGTTTTCAAGAAGTTATTAATACCTTTAAGACCAAAAGGTACTGACCAACCTAACAATTAGAGCAAAGAGTAGCTATTACCAATTACAAAGAGCCTAGCAAAGGAAAAAGCAAAAGGTGATTTTAATATGGAAGACTGGGAAGCCTCCCCTAATGAAAAAGAAAGATTCAATATGTAATCAGGAAGAGTGATAGCTTCGTGAAATGCCTACACCCTAAATAGACACTCATGCAGTTGAGCAGAAAGTTGCTTCGATTCTGTGAAAACCACATCCTCCAGGAGTTAGACACTTACTGTTATTCTCAGCATATATCCTTATAACCGGCATCATCTCGAAGAGCACCTTGGGTTTAGATTCAACCAGTCTCATGTTTCTTCTGTCCCAACCAGCTCCTTCTAGATACAGCCCATACACATAGACACCTTCCAAAGGTGGTTTTGTGATGTCCTCCTTCATCCATTTAGTTACCTCATTGCACAGAACTACGCTGTCGAGAGCCCATCCTTTGTTAGCTCGTGTTATTTCCTGCTCCAAAAGGCAAGAAAATCTGAAAGTTACATTTCCGAGAGTGTGCAGAGCAATATTTCAAGTGAGCACAGGGCAATATTTTAATTTTTAATTTATTAGAAGTATATTTGTAGTGTATGGTCACAAGTTATCCTCTTAAATAGAGAAGTTTTAATCTTTTCTGATGTCCACGTTTTCAGTAGTTTGACTTCTACATGTCAGGGTGGTACTACAAGAAAGTCTCCTATCCTTTTTTAATCTTTATATTATATGCATTAGCTTAAGACCACAGTAGTAACCTGATGAGCAAATGCCAGTGATAATGATCCTTGTGAACATGAAAATTTTACAGCTTTCATGCAATAGGAAAGTGTAACTGCATGTGCTATAATTGAATAAAACAGTTCCAATGACAAAAGCAAATGCATAATTTGTTGCATACTTTTGGGGGTTATCTTTCTTTTCCTACAGTTATAGTTCTCATTAACTACTTTTTTAATAGTGAATGATTGCTCACTCAGCTACAAAACTACATAGACTATCAAAAACACAGGCAACACGAGGACATAGAAATGTTATAGATTCGAAACATACTTCAAATTTAATCAATACTTACCTAGTGCATTGGATAACACTCATTTATTCTTGCCTAATCCCTTATTACCTCATGCTATTACATCAAACAACATCTATTTTTCAGGTTTTTTATTTGAAAAAGTTGGAAATATTTGAAAAATGTTTGCCTACACTGCAGTAACTTAGCTGTTTTAAAGGAATGAAATGGTTATAGGTCAATTGTTATTCTGACACTTCATTTTTTTTTCCATCCGCCTCTTTTCCCCAAGCTTGAGTTCAAGAGAAAACTCCAGTTTAAAGAAGTTTTTTGAAGGAAGTATCTTATTGTATAAATGCAAGGTTCTTCACCTGCAGCTTTAGTAAAGTAGTCCACTCACTGGACTTCCAAACTGACATCCAAAAATCACAGTACTCAGGTCTCAGATCAAGAGAGGAGATTACTTCCTTCTCTCAAAGTCTTCAGTATGTTTCCTCCAAACTTAGGTTTTTGACTGAGCCCCCATGGGATTCCCACCTGAGGATTTTCTCCACTTCGACAGAGGAGACAATCATTGTCTCCACTTCATGCCCAAGCATGTCTATCAACATGGGTATTATTGGCTCCTTTTCATATAAAAAGTAACTCACTTGTTAAAAGCAAATTGCATGTTGAGTAAGCAAATTATCAAGTCCAAATTGGCACATTAATGGGCACAAACTTTGTACTTTATACACATGAAGAAAGTTCTGTCATACTTCATGCAGAGAAACTTCATTTCTAGAACTGCAGAAGTGTAACAGAAAACTAACAGAAGAGTAGGTAAGTGTTCTGGCAAGTCTCCACTAGGCAAGGACTCAACACAGACCAAAGGGAGGAGGAAAAAAAAAAAAAGAAAATAAATTAATAGACTTACCATCTCTTACAGGGACACCTCAACAGTAACATCACAGATTACCTCTCAATCCTACCTTTATAACCCTCTAACGCAGATCCTATGTACTTGGGGCTGGGGTCAAAGGAGGAAATATGTTTTAATACCTTAGTTGTTGATAATGAAGAAAGTATATGTGGAGGAAGACTGATTCTCTCACGAAATTTTAAATGGTTATACAGCCAAAGATTTTGCCTATGGAGTCAAGAACATCCCTTAACTTTCATGCCAATCAAACCAGAATATGTTATTGGTATATCATACCAATATATGTTAATAAAGAAGTATATCTAATAATAAGCAAAAAGAGACTTTAAATACAATTTACCTGTCTCATTGCTGTTAAAAATCCCTGAGGATTAAAAAACCCTGTCATCCAAAAGCAATTTGGTCGGCTTTCAAAAATCCAATTGTGAAACTGGTGGTTTCTTTCTAGAAGCTCAGTAAACCAGAACCCAAGTGTACTGGAAGCCCAAGATGCCTAAAAAAAGTAATAGAGTGTCTTTTTAAAAAAATATATATATATATATTCAACAGTTTTTAAAACATTGTATTTATGCAAATAAAAATTAATTCTTCGCAAGGTAATAAAAACCAGCCTATTAGTAAAGTATATTTAATGTTCCTATTTTATGTAAAACCTTAACCTGATAAATGTTTTGTAGGAGAGGGTAGACTAGAAGCCACTAGAGGTCTCTTCCAAACTCAGGGTTCCATGACTACAAGTCTTAGTCACAAACAGAAACATCAGTGCAGTCCACGAGTATGGCTGCTATTTTTGAAAATCCATCATAGTGTTTGAAATTGTTGTCTTCTCTCTAGCCTTCTATCTTGATAATATGCAACAGTTTGCTAAAGTGGGAAATGTCTATAATTGTAAAGTCCTTTTCTATTTTTAGTTAAAAGAGAGGTCCTGCTTTCATTGTGCTTATTCGGTCCTAACATTATCTGAGCAGTCCTGTTAATTTTTACACACCTATTTGAAAAATGTCTTCACTGTATACCTCACAGCTTAATCCAGCTCTGAAGAAATAAACACCTTTTTAAATAAATAAATAAATGATATAGGCAAACTAATCAACACCTACTTTCTTCCAGCTAGCAGGAATTCTTCCATCATACATGCAATCTAAAGCATCCCTCAGATTTTCATTCATAATAATTGTTCCATCAATGGCAAGTTTTAGATCGGTCAGAGTGCTTCTCACTAACATAATAACTCTCTGCATTTGATCAATCTCTTGTCGCAAAAATATGTTCATAGGCTGAAATGGTCCCATGTTCTTTAGTTTCTCTTTTACCTGTAGGGAGGAAATGAAAGCCACTTCAATAGAAGTAAAAGCTAAAGATGGCATTATGCCAAGGTTAGGCACAAAGCCATCTAGACAGGTATCAGGTCCTTGGGAAACTTCCATTAGAGCAAATTGGCAAAGGCTAAAGGTAGAAGGTTTCTTTTGCAAGATGGTGAAAGCAGAAAATCATCTAATCACTAAACCTTCTTACTACCTAAATGAGCAGGTGGCCACTTTGGGAATCTGTCAAAGCTAACCGTTGCACAAGATGCGGCCTTGAACTTTTTTTTTATGATGATATGAGGATAGGTATACAGAGTGCAGCAGATTGGAGCGTCCATGCATCTTGTCATGAATACATGTTTTCGAAGTGTAAGAAAACACCTCCACCTTCAGAAATATCCCATGTCTGGGGTGAGATATCCCAAATAAGCTGAAGGGAAATTCTATTTCATAGAAGTACCTATGAGACAGGAGGTGTCCATTATAAATAAAACCCCAGGGGCTGCTAGGGGTTAGTTTGGATCCTGGAATACTAACACTAGGCTCAACCAACGAAACTTATTGAGTTCTTCAGCAACCACTTCTGTGAGGAAAATCATTCCCTACTAGAAAGAAAAGTTGCCTAAAAATATCTTGAGGATGTAGGCTGAATCCCCAAATAATATCTATGTTAAAACTGTAGTACTTTTAGGAGTGTTAAGCCACTTGAAACATCAACTCAGTTCTTCAATACAATGTCAACAAGCTTAGCTGAAAAAATGATGACCTCCCATGGTGCAGATGACAGCTTAAGTATAAGTGGTTTGATATTTTGAAAAAGCTATTACAACAGCTCTTCAATGCACATATAGTGACTTCATTATAGATGCTGAGAGTCTGGTCAGGTCTCTCTTTAAAGTGTGTTTTTAAAGTATTGTCTGAATGAATGAATTTAGAGACACTTCTAGAAAAACTAATGCATTAAAAAAAAATAAAACAAAGACGGGAAAAATGTCACCTCTGACAGCATTTCATTAACTCACTTCAAATGGCACATAATCAGAAGGCAGCTTCTCCAGCATATCATCAGCCAGTCTGGCCACAACTGCTTCTCGTGTTTCATCTGCTCCACCAGAGCTATCCTTGGGCTGAATACTGAGAATGATGTCCAACACATTCTTGGAAAGTGTACTTTGGTAAGTGATATCAGCATTGGGATGCAAACCAAACACTTCTGGTGTGTCATAAGCAGGCAGACTCTACATAATCAAATGGAAGTGGGTTTAGTTGCTTACCATATATGAAAAAGCAAGATTACATTTTAACATAAGACGGCTTTTAAGTTCCCATCTTGTAGCTCTTTTCAGACAGTTGTCTTGTAAATATCTTGCTGAAAGTTATGTTAAAGCTCAAACCACACTGTACTTAACAAATTCATTTTTAACCTGTGTAAATTATTTTAAGTCAGATTATACACTCATATCAATACTTTTTTTTAATTATTCCTGTGAGGCTGTACCCAATGTCTTGACTCCATTCTATGTCCTTTTTAATAACTGTGTACCTTCAGGTACATCTCACATGCGAATTGAATGAAAAAAAATGGTAAAGACATTACAATTATACCTATTTACTGATATCAGTAATAGATTTACTGTTGTCAGTAATAGATATTCACACAAAGAAGAAATGGAGAGACTCAGGAACCTGTGAGAAACTTCTGTGATTTTTTTTTCTGTTGAAACACTCATGCATTTACCAACCTGTATGTATTGAAGATACTGATCCACCACAGTACACTTGGGTATGCTGTATCCTTTATAAAAGCAGAATTCTTGACTGAACATATTTTCACTGAACCAAAGTTTTACAAAAGTGTTCATCAGTCTTTTGTCATAGTCATCTGTCACACGGCCACCATACTGGATCTCACCTATCATGTAACGAACAGTACTCCAGGAGATCCCCTAAAACCAGGAAGAAAACATTAACTTCAGCTAATGCTCTTGTCATCCATTTATGTCTTCCTTAGTAAGATGGCTGATACATCAAGTCCTGCATCTCTGTCCCTTTTGAAATAAAGTTATTTTTCACTAAAATACCAATCATTCCAATTCCAAATACCAATTCTACCAATTACTTCTTCATTAAAATATGAAAATGATCTGTCAAAGACTTTTATATAATAATTGGCCAAATACAAGCAAGGAATTCTTCCATGGCCTGTGGGGGAAGGCAACTTCCCATTTCTTTATGCTGCCAAGATAATTTGGAAAAAATAAGTCTTAAGATTTTTACTCAAAATAAAATGAAACAAAACAGTACTTAAAACCAAGCGACACATTTTTATTTATTTGACATATTTAAAGTTGGGAAGAAGATCTATATTATAATGCATTTATTCTTAAGTATTGAGGAAGAGATATTTTCTTTTGTTTTTATGCACAAGTTAATGTAGATAATTAACATGCCTAAGATTAAATCTAATTAAAATCAGCTACTCTACATCCAAGCAAGCCACCCTCCCCACAAAAACATTAATTACCTTCTTGATATCCATAGCATCCAAGTGGTTCTGAATGAACTGTACAGTGGCATTGAAGTCAGCTTGGTTAAACTCATACGGTATGTTCCAACCCAGAGACCCAAACTTGCGTCTTTCTTGAACAGTGGAGTGCAGAAAGGCTACAGCATACAGCATTGGTTTCCACTGCACCATGCTATTGACATCTAGTAAATCCTGGCTGACACCTGTCAGTTATAAGTGAGCTTCATAAGAAACACAGGAATAGTATTTTCAGAATTACTTCAAAACAGTACTAAAAGCTCACTCTTGGAGACAATCGGGTGAATTCCAACATCTTCCAAGAGTAAATTATTGCTCTACAGATTATTCTACACTGGTTAAATTCACATAAGTTGCTTTTTCCAGAAACTTTTTGATTATAGACCTTAACTGCATCCAAAGTGAAGAGCATTTAGCAGTCAACTCTTTATAAAGTCAAAACACAATTTTTCTACCAAGAGACAACAGCTTAACAATTTAAATTGTTTAGAAGCATTTCAACTGAGATATTGAAATCCAATACCTGAGAAAAGAAAAAATATTTCTGTGTTCTGCTATCCAATTAGTTCTAGCATTAGAACTTCAGCAGACCTTCTCTTCCTTTTAATTTCTCAACTTCTAGCTCAAACGAAGGATCAAGCTGTGATTGATGTACCTGGCATTGATGTACATGGTTGCTCATACTAGTTCACAGGTACTATTAATAGCTACAACATGACCACCTGACAGCATCAGAAAGTCCAAAAAATAGCAAAATTTAATTTTGAAATATTACTGTTTTTGCACTCCACACTTACCAGCGTATGTTCGTTTTAGTCCAGCTCGGAGTCCCTGCGGAGGTTCATTGGTGAATTTAATAGACATTTGAAGAAGGGTGATTGGGAACTGTTTATGGATTTCAGTTGTCATCCACAGTCGAAACCCTTCATGGACAGTCTCTGTCTCTATTATTGTATCCATCAACTCATCCAAAAAGCCAAGTCCAAGGTGGCAGTTTTGCAGAAGAGCCCAGCCTCCCTAGTGTAAAATAACAGAATATACACTGTTATCAATTATGTTTGCAAACTGAAAGCACTAAAATCATCTTTTAATTATGATCTGAATTAGGAACAAAGGAACATCATATCTAAGCTATAATATTATACCACATTAAGTGCTTGTGAGAGTTGTTAAGGGAAGAAATCCTCCATAGTCAGTTTTGCACTACTGGCTTCCCAAAAAAAAATGAAAGCCTTAAACATTTGTGTTCACATATGTGTGAAAGTGGAAAACAACAATCATAGCAATGGTACACATGCAATTAGCAAAATATTTTTTTTTCTGCAAGAAAAACCTCAGCTGAGCCAGTCTGTGGGCTGGTCATGTTGTGGGGTTTGTTAACTTGTTTGGTTTTTTATTTTTCATCATCTTAACTCCTTATTTGACCAATCTGGTCTTTTAACGTAGTCCTTCTGCAGATTGCACCCTTCTTTCTCAATTAAGTAATTTTAGAATACGTCTGGATATGGTCACAGCCATAATAAGTACATAGGTACATAAATCTTACTTTTCTATTCACGGCCATAATTGCACTGGTCCTCAATAAGGGACCTTAAAAATAATTTTGTAGACATGAAAATACTGCTAAGCCAGGTTACTCACAAGAGCCATAGGCTTGGAATAGTGTTAATCTATTGCTATCAAACATAAGTACTGCACTACATTAAGATGTTTTGCATATCTCTTCATTAAGAGGGTATGTGAGACAGTGTGGGAAAATAACTGCCTTTTTCTTAAATAAATGAAAGAAGCACCCCCTATTTATCTTTTGAATATGGTTCTTCTCCTTTGCTAATGAGCCTCTAATGTTAAGTTGTCAAATGCTAATTTGAGACAAAAGTCAGAGGAAAATTATACAGTTATACAGACAGACAAGGAGCCCATAACTCAGGAATACAGGAAGGATAACCTGTTCACATCAGCAGGCACAGTACTATTGCAGACAAAACATGTTATATTGGAACATCTCAGCTTTTCTTTGTCATAGAAGTCATTTGATTTGTCAATTATGTCTTCTACGTGTGAAAAAAAAAATCACTTTGTCCATTCCAATTCAAAATCCAGACCACTGCAACACCAAAGGCTTTGCTATAAAACTTAATTTTTCTCAAGGTTATGCCATTCAGCTACGTGTGAACAGGATGGAGAGCTTGGCAGAAAGGAATCTCATGAGGTTCAACAAGGACAACAGGGTCCTGCACCTGGGGAGGAATAACCCCAGGCACCAGTACAGATTAGGGGTTGACCTGCTGGAAAGCAGCTCCACGAAGAGGGATTTGGGAGTCCTGCTTGACAACAAGTTAACCATGAGGCAGCAATGTGCCCTTGTGGCCAAGAAGGCCAATGGCATCCTGGCCTGCATCAGCAGGAGCGTTGCCATCAGGCCGAAGGAAGGGATCCTGCCCCTCTCCTCAGTTTTGGTGCGACCGCACCTGGAGTACTGGGTACAGTTCTGGCCTCCCCAGTACAAGAAGGACACTGAGATTCTAGAGAGGGTCCAGTGTAGAGCCACAAAGATGATTAAGGGACTGGAACATCTATCTTATGAGGAAAGACTTAGCGAGCTGGGCCTGTCTAGCCTGGAGAAGAGAAGGCTGAGAGGAGATTTGATCAACATGTTGAAGTATCTGAGGGGTGATTGTAGGGAGGATGGGGCCAGGCTCTTCTCTGTAGTGGCCGGTGACAGGATGAGGGGTAACGGGTATAAGTTGAAACATAGGAAGTTTAAGCTCCATATGAGGAAGAACTTCCTTACTGGGAGGGTGACAGAGCACTGGAACAGGCTGCCCAGAGAGGTTGTGGAGTCTCCTTCTCTGGAGATCTTCCAAATCTGTCTGGACGCCACCCTGTGCCACATGCTGTAGGTGTCCCTGTTTGAGCAGGGGAGTTGGACTAGATGACCTCTAGAGGTCCCTTCCAACCCTAACCATTCTGTGATAAAAATCGATAATATATGTTTGGAACCCATCTTCATTTTATTAACTATGCTTGTATTGCTTGTATATAAAAATATATAAAACAAAAACAAAACCTCCCAAAAGTAAAGTGCTTTTTGATGCACATTTTGTATTTATGTAATCCGAATAGTTTATCAATTTAGACATGCTCATCGATCAGGCCTACAGCAAAAACTTCATTAAATAGAAAAGTATCGATGTTTGATCAACACCAAAAAGTTTGCAATGGCCCATTTAAAGATTGTGAAAGAATAATCCTGTTACTTAGGACATCTCTTCATAGTCCCTACACCAGCTTTAACCACATACATACAACTTCATTTCATGACAAAGTTTTTGTTTATAACCATCCAAAATCCAAACAGATCAAAAACAATTTGCATTTTTGTCTCTTACATGCACCATAGTCTGCTGTAGAAGTTTACGAGCATGGACTTCTTGTCCCTGGCCCATGGAAACATAACGTGTTTCTATCTTCAGTCTTTTTCCCAAAGCAATGATTGAGTCAGTAGGATCAGAGCCCATGGAAAGAAAGCATATAAGAGGAGTACGTGAATCTGACTCTTCCCATGTCTTTTCCAAGTCCAGAATGACTCCTTCTGCATATTTCTCTCCCATAGTATCAATGATATATTTTCTTGCCTGTATTAAAGGGTAAAATCTGAACTTGATACATAATCATTTAATATTATTTTCTACCAAGTCTAAATATTAAGAGCAAGTAAACCAAATAGTAAAGGTTCCTCTAAGTTTATATCTAAAGTACACAAATGTTAACAAATTTATTTTTACATATTTAACATACAACACTGCATTTTAAATGCCTTACTTCTTACAGCCTAATAAGATTTGTTTAAACTTAAAAAATAACTATTCTAATATATATATACTTTTTTAGATACTATGTATTACATACAACCTATAATTACAATATAAGACAAATAATAACCTTATTAAATCTTTAGAGAGATTTTAATGGTTTAAAGGTGTTATCTCCATTATCTAACATGAGAACTCAAAAAAACGAAAATAGCTCTAAGCTTAAAAATGTACCTTTCATTTTCAAATGCTACAAAGGAGAGAAGGATAGGATAAGAAGATCAAAAGGGTTTAGAAGGTCTTTTCCACCTTCACTCTTCAATTTTAAAACAAATAATGAACTAATAGTAGCAATGATCAAAAGAGCTGTTGCCAAGTAGAAGTTTCAGAGGAACAGGTAAGACCATCTCTGTTATTTCATATTTATTTATTTCAAATTTTGTTATAATAGTGCGTTCGTTATTAATAACAAATATAACAGCCTCTTGGATACAGTCTGAGATAATTTTTCCAGTGTTCTTTCTCAGTACTTCTGATTTGAAAGCAATAATGCCTCGAATAACTGTGTTACTTCCCAGAGAAAAGACATGCAGCATTTAGAACCTGAAAAACTATCAGTCTACAGAAAACCAGAAGGAGTATCTTGTCCTCATTTACAGAACAGATGGGACATGAATTTTGCATGACCATTTTCAAACACGTAGCACACACCTGAGGTCTACATTACATAGCAGCATTTAAACTTCAATTGACTGCAGCTATACCAATAACTGCTCAGACTTTCTCTGGATCCAGTCACAATGTCTAAAGTTTTGCTTCCATGAAACGAATGCCACATAAAGGGGGATGAGTTTTGGCTTCAATAAACTGCCTTCTATCACCCTGGAATTGTCAACAATTGATTTTTTTTTTTTTTTGCCATTGGAGGAGGACAAAGATAAAAACAGATTCTTAAAAGCTGACATTTTTAAAAATGGTTTTTATTATTTATTTGGCTTTAATTTTGCATTTCTATTCTTTTTAAATAAATGCTTTGAAAATAGCAATTTTGAACCCCTAAGATGGGTCTAATAACTTTTCCATGCAAGAAATAGTTCTTCAGTTAGATTGTTTTCATGTTTTACTTAGCCTACCATGTTCATGAAAAGATTTAGTTCAGATGAACATCAGGATACCTCTACACTTCCAATGAATAATATTAGCAAGTACAGCCAGAAATACCTTCTGAACTGATATTGCAGAACTGGACCAACAAAAAAAAAATCCCAAATGAAATCCTATCTCCACAATAAAACCAGTGGCTCATATTTCTTACCTATATTCAGCTCATTTTACTTGCAAAGCCCCTGAAATAAATGCATATATTTCCATCTGAAGAGAATTTCAAAAAATTAAATGTAAAGGTTCATTACAAAATAGCTTTAGCATTAAATACAAAAAATTATTGAACTGTGCTCCTGTAATAGTTGTGCCATGCAAACCTTAATAGACTATGTCTGCTATATAAGTGTACCTGAGCTATGGTCCTGTCAGGGCACCAAGATCTAATAAGAAGAAGATGTCTGAAGCAGTCCAGAGATTGACCATAACCACTAGGGACCAGTTCTTCTTCAGGATTCTCACTATCAAACCAGATTTTCCACTGTTTTTCTGCTCTGGCAATCTGCAATTATAGCACCAGGGGAGTAAATCTCACTAAAAAGACACATCATATTTCAACTGCTACCAGTTCATAAACTTTTAATGAGGGAGATAGATCTAGCAAGACTATTTAAAAAAGACAGAATAAGCTTTCAGGTTTTCAGTACAAAATTATACTAATCAGTATATTCACTTCAGTGTGAAAAAAATAGGCTACTACTAAGTATTTTCCATTAACAACATCATGGCATAGCAAGGTCAGCACGCATTTAGATGGCATGCTAGTTTTGTGAACCCTAGGCACATGTCTGCTCCTCACATGACCACAAATGCGTGCCAAATGCAATTTACTTACTCCATTAACTACAATATACTTAATGTCCATTAAGACTACTCATACAAGTGTTGAATTTACTGAGTACCTTTTCTCTCAGATTTACTCCATGTAAACAGAATAATATTGGAATACGCATGATAAAGCATAGTCTAAAAAAGCACAGTAGGGATGCAAAAAAGTCTAAAAACCTTTGGGAAGAGGAGTCAAGCTGCATTACGCAACCTTAATAATGTCAAGGTATATGCCTCTCCGGGAAGCACCATGTCAATACAAAATGCTAAGCACTCAGGGCAACTACTCATAACCTTTGCTCTATCACTTTCATTCTGTTTTATAAAATAACATAATTTCCTGGCTCTGTGCCTTGATCCTCACCAGATGAGAGACAGTGCTTTTAAAAAACTGTTACTTACTTGGTCAAGAATATCTGAAAATTGTCTAAGCTTACTGAGCTCCACCAAGTTCAGCCAAGTCATATCCAAGATCCATTTAGCTGGCTTGGGAGGACAAGTTTTAAGGTCCAGGGAAGCACCGCCTGCAAAAGTATGGATCTAGTTATAATTAGAGCTCTCAAAGACACCCAAAAGACAAAAAAAAATAGGGCAAGCCTAGAGAGTGTAAACTAGATAGCACACAAATATTTCACACAACAGAGAAGCCTTCTGAGAAAGAGTTATTAAATAAAGAAGGATGGTCATAAAGAAATTTCTAGAGTAGATAACAGGCCTAATTCATTTTCAATTATTATTTTTATTTTTCATCCGAATTTAAAACATAACATTTTAAAATTCATACCACCTTCCTATCACAATTTAAATGAGCTTACAAAAAAAACTTCCTTTTTTAGTTCAATTTGTTGTTGTTAATGATGTAGATAAATATAGTAGCCAATGTGTACATTTCTTTCTCTGGACTTGAACTGAAACCAAAAGAAATCAAACATGACAAATAAATAAATAAATAATTGTAAAAATAACAATGTAGGGATTTTCTGCCTTAAAAAACAATTAAACCAACTATAACCAAATAAAGGTTACAGTTTGGCAAATTTATTTACTATGCATCTTAATCTTTGTTAACCAGCTTCTCTCTTGAGGACTTAAATATTTCTTGGCGCAGAATGTCTGAAAATAACTGTTTCTTGGGAAATATGCATTTTAAGAAAAGAAGAGTTTCTGAAGATTCAACATGGGAAGATTAAGCTATAATCAATCAATAACTGTTGCCTGGAGAATTAAGTATTTTGTGCTCTTGGAGAACACTGGAAAAGTAATATTAAGATATGCAGTGTTTGCACACAGTTAAAAATAAAGCCCTGAACTTGCCATGTTCAGCTAAGACTTTGTTATTGTTTTAAACACTTAATACCATTTTCAGTTCCTATTTGCTTACTGATCCTCCTGCAACTACCAAACAAGCTATAGGTAGTTTATTATAATAAGTTCTCAAAGCCAAGCCACATACCCAATGGTTTGCAGACAGCAAACAAACATTAACTAAGAGGATACTAAGCAATCGTCTTTGTAAAATTCTAAGCTAAGCTTAGCTAAGCTATCAAAACTCACCGTTTCCCTATAAAGTAAATCTACCATATGATGTTGTTTGTCACCAAAAGAGAATGATAAACATGTATACTTTAACTTGACTGACTTTGCATGTGCAGAAACAAGTAGCAGGCTGGCTAGGAGATACAACCACAGCTCACAATTTTTCTAGTAGTGATATATATGCTCTACTTAAAATTGTTCAGCAGCTCCAACCTTTAATAAGTGTGAGAAATTCTTCATGCTTCACTCTGTTTCTCTGTATATCAATCTTCAAGGTAAGTAATAATGTGAACAGAAATTTGTGCTCTTCATACAGTCCTCGGGCAGCATATTTGTATACTTCAAATGTCATATGTTCAATAATATTAGCAATCCTCTTGCTAGTTATAGGGCTCTTGGTAGATCTATAGGAAGTAATGTTTGCAATGGAATTTAATGTCTGTTTGGATAAGCTTTATGAAAGACAGTACTATGTAAAGATAAAAAGTCTTAGTTCAGAATTCTGAACATATTAGATATAAACAAATCGCAAAAACATAGTATCAGGAAGCAAAGTGACAAAAAATTTCAGGATGAAACAGCAACAAAAAATCCTTTCTAATTAAACGTTTCTGCAGAGCTGAAAAGCCACTCACTATAATGGCTTCAATTAGGTAATATCAATCTTTCAAGGACTGTAAATATGAACATGCTTTGCCTTGATAAATAAGAAACAAAGGCTTATGGGTATTTAAACTGACAACCCTTAAAGACAGTAACAAGCAACAGCCTTCTTTGTTCTTTTGTACTATAAATCTTTACAGTATTACAACCCTATTCAGGACTCAATTAGTACAAATGATGCTTCTGGTTAGCTAAATCACCTGGCTAGTGAACGGTCAAAGAGCCCCAAAAACTGTCGAAGCGAAGTCTGATACATCACGTTGACCATACTCATCTCAGTAATAAGGAAGTATAAGATGCTCCCTCGAGTTGCAACTGAAGGAAAGGAAACAAGACTGTTCAAAGTAGAAATGTGGAACAAAAAACTACAATATGTAGCAAGTACATGGACTTTAAGAATATTAATGCTGATAAAAAAGCATAAATAATTAATGCTGATTAATGCTGATTCAGAAAAAAATAACTAAAATACTATTTTAAAGCATCATTTATGCAGCAGCAGAAAAATATTTTCTGAAATTAATGCATATTATATAAAATACTCGTTTGTAAATACGAGTATCTTCAGAAAGCAACACGTTGCATTGGGATACACAAGTCATCAGTGATACATAGAAAATCTATTGGCTTGAAGTACTGTTTGAAATCCAAACAAATTTCTCATGCAGACCCTTACAGGAGTTGTAAAAAGATCAAACAGACTATATTGATTAAACATATCCAGTACAGACTATATTGATTAAACATATCCAGTACAGATTTACCTTGCTCACTTTCAGCAGCCAATCTATTGTTTTTAAAGGCAACAACTTTACAAAATCTGCAATGATTTTTGGTATATTTAGTGTACCACTTTATACATTTTCAAAAAAAAAAAAAAAAAAAAAAGCAAGACCTGGAGAGCACTTTTCACCCATTTTTTTGCATTTTCACTTCAGTTTAAAAAAAAAAAAAAAGAGAGAGAGAGAGATGGAAAGACACTGAAAAACAATGATCAAGTTTTTCCAAGTTTCCACTCCAATAGACTTCATTGACTGGTACACTTGTATATAGGGCCTGTACATGAATTCTTGCAACACAATAATTCAGTGTTTTACAAATCTCATGAAAAGTATAATACTGACTAATTTTTCCATCATATGCCATTTCCTAGATCTAATTTATTTAGAGGAAAACAGAGCTCCCTTCCAGCCATTATGGTCTTCCTGCTTTCATCCTGTCATTTCTCTTGCTCTAGGTGCTGCTCTTTTAACCACATGCTCCAGTCATTAGTTTTTCATCACTACCCACAATTGCCCTCACCAGGTCTGTACTCCTCGCGGGCTGAGTTGATCTGCACTTCAGTTTCAGCAGAAATTTTTAGCTTCTGTGTTACCTCCTCAGCAGTCTTCTTAGTGTTACTCAATACAGTTATTAGACTCTCATCCTCTGCCAGAGAACCCTTAGTGCTTGTAAGTCGGAACAGAAGGTTATCTTCTAGCTCTTTCATCCTTCTTTTGTTCATACTCACGTCTTCCATAAGATCTGTTCTTTCCTTTTCTAGTTCCTGTTGCAATACATGGTAATATTTGAAAAACATGCAGGCAATCAAAAGCAAAACACAACTTGAATAACCAAAGATACTTAATTTTAAAAGTACTGATCCTACTGAAGCAATGTAGGTCAAGAGGAACTGCGCTAATTTGGGGGAAGAATTCCAACTTTACAATGGTATTTCTGACAACAGTTCTATTATAAGAAAGATTATTTCTAAGCATGCTCTATAAACATTCATTAAGGAAAAAATTTAGCAAATTATGTGGACCCTACTTTTTTATGACTTAACAGAACAAGAATTTCAGAAAAATAACTATGTTTATTCTATTTTGGTTTCTTGGTTTTGCACCCACTTTGCAATAAATAGATTTTTATTTAATTCCATCTAGTGTTATTTTCACTTATGCAATATTTTACAATCACTGTATCAGTTTCAAAAGTAACATTACAAACAACATAGCCCCTGAAAATACAGTCCGAGTAACAGCAAACATCCTCAAGTCAACCAGCCAAGCAACTGACTTTTCAAGAAGGGCGCTTCTCCATCAAACAGCAATAACCTCAGTCTCTTGCTAAAATGTTTCAATGCTTAATAAAGTAAAGCACTTAGCACTCAAATTTAGTTGTTTCACTGGAAGTATTTAGTTGGTTATTTTCATAATGATACAAGCTGCGTGGCAATTGCAATCTATTTTGTTTTCCAATGGCGACATATAAAAGATGGATAAATGTTGAGTAACAGCTTTACATAATATAATAAGAAAAACTATTTAAAAGATCTTAAGGTAAATATAAAATTACTTTTTTCAGAGAACATAAAGTTCTTCAGATCCTACACTTCTACTACTTTTTTAATTAAAAAAAAACTATTACAAGAGTTATTCAGAAAAACATATATTTCATTAGAACAATGAGCAATCTTTCAAAGCAATGACACCAAAATTCTACCTTAGCACTACATTCAGGCTTCTTAATATTCAGCTTTAGCAACAAGTTGCTACTTCTCCCAAAGAGATGCTAACATTCATATTTTCTGCTAACATTCCTTTATTTCAAGCATTTAGTTCTTGCAAACAAAGCCCTCTCATCTTAATAAAGAAATTACAAACAATTGTATTCATCTGCAGGTCTATGTTCTTTTCCTGTGACTGCACAAAAGCTATACTAAGACATATGATTAGGTAGGAAAGATTTATTTGGATTGTTGTCATAGAATAATGTAAATATCACATAACTTACATGTACACACAGATTCAAAATATTCATAGAAGAACTATATTCATAGAATAGAAAAAGGCAAGAAAACTATAGGTAACTCCATTTTAATCAACTGTCACCTAACAGAACGAAAGGAACAGAAGCAGGTAGGAATTATGAAGCAAGGGAAGCATTATTCAGGTTTGACGAAGTAGAAACAAATTTTTAAAGTGTAGCGTTACAAGGATGTTAGCAGTCAATTATATATACTAATTATCATGTTGAAAAATTAGTCAGAGCTAAATTTAATTTCATGTTTTGCTGAGTTCAATTTAAAAGGTTAAACATATTTTACAGTGTAACAGTTTAAACAACAGAAAACTAAGCTTTCCTCACAAGAAGAGCCTGAGAAACAAGCTGAAACAGAATAAACCAACTAAAGCAAGTGAAGTAACCTTAGATTTTTAACTGGCTATATATATATATATAAATGGTTTTAAAATGCTGAATGCAGACCAGAAAGATCTTTTGATACATGTTTTGAAATTTACCGTTTCAGGAACATATGAACCACAGGATGCAAAAACAGAGGTCAACCACACTGAAAAGTTTAGAACATACTCCATGAAAGTCCCCTTGCCTACCAAGAGGTCAGCTTCCTATTTATCGTTAAGTGCTATATCAAGAAGATCAGAATCAAAGCAACAGAGAATACACTACTCAGGAAACTGGTCCAGGGAGCACAGCATCATGACTCATTAGATATTTTCTACTTATTCTCAAAGACACATATTCACAGAATAATTTAGGTCAGAAGGAATGTCTAGAGTGCAACACCTTGCTCAGAGCAAGTCTAAATACATCAGTTACTCAACACTATGTCCAGTTAACAACTTGAAAAAAATACTAATTTTCAAGTTATCAACTTGAAAAAAAATCCTAACTACACCTAATTCCTATGTTCCTGCTCTCTGCAAACCCACTGAGCGTGCACTCCAACTCATCATCCAGGTTGAATGAAGACAATAAATATCATTCCTAAGATTGCCACTAATTGTTGACCATCAGCTGGGCTTAGCACTCCTGATCACAACTGTCTAAGCCTGGAAGTCCAGCCATTTCTTCACCCACCCTACTGACCATTTACCCAGCACGTTTCTCACCAATTTGACTGTAAGGACACTGTGAAGACTATGAGGACCATGTAAAATGCCTTGCTAAAATCAAGATGAACAACATCCACCCATCCTCATCTTGTCCACAGTGCCAGTCATCTCATGGACATAAATTAGGGCTGGCTTCTCTTTCTTGTCCTTCATCTGCTTAGAAATTGCTTCTAGAAGAATTCACTCAATAATCTCTCCAGAGGACCGAGGTGATGCTGGCCAGCATGTAGTTACCAGGATCTCTCCTCTTGCTCTTCTTGAAGATAGGTGCAACATTTGCCTTTCTCCTGTCAATAATGCCTTCCCCTAGCTGCCATGGCCTTTCAAAGATGATAGAAAGTAGCCTCACAATGACATCAGACAGCTCTTTCAATGGGATCAGAAACATCCCGTCTGGTCCCTTGGACTTCTACATGTCTAATTGGTGATCCCTACATCTGCCTTCCATTAAGGTGGGAGACTGCTTGACTCATTAATAGAGTCAGGATCTCTAGACCTAGGAGGCCTGACAGCAAATCCTATCATTAAAAGCTGAGGCACAAAAGGTAGCGAGCTCTTCAGCTTTTTCCACATCCTTTGTTCCCTACCCCATTGAGCAATGAGACCAAACTCTTCTTAGACTTTCCTTTGCTGCTGACATGTTTACAGAAACCTTTCTTTTTGCCCTTCCTCTCTCTTGCTAACCTCAACTCCAGCTGAGCTTTGCCCCCATGACTCTTCTTCCGCACACATGGGCAATGCCTTTTTATTTCTTCCAAGTAGCCTCCCTCTGGATTTACCTTCTGCGTATTTATTTGCTTTACATCTTGGAGCTTAGTCATGAGCTCCATGTTCAACCATGCTGGCTTTCTACCACGCTTGCTCAAATGGGCTAGAGAAGAATGAGCAGAAGATACTAAAGAACTACTCACAATTCAGGCTCTGAAAGAGAGCACCATTAGAAAAGAATGAGAAAAACTCACTAAACCTCAGCAGTAGCATAACAGACCTGGGAGGAGAGGCAGACTCCTTCAGTTACAACCAGACAAATATTTAACTGGAAGTGCAACAGCTAAGCTACTATTATCTTTTTTCACTTTGACAAGATTGTATGGAAGCTGTGAGAACACATGCACTAGACTCTTCATAAGCAAAAAGAGATGCTGATGTGAGAAGAATCAATGACTCCTAACCATTCTGTCAGAACCTAAACACTTTTCCTTCAGAGAAGATGTAACTGACCATAGAATGAGGAACCAGATTTTCCCCACAAGCTCCACAGACTGATTAAAGATGAAATGCAATCATTTGACATTAACAAGATGACTGAGGCCATTAAATAATAAAGTCTCTCTCTCTCTACAGGTATATATTACTTGTAACAATAAGGTGACAAATAGCAAATACAGAGTAATAGATGCATAGCTTCCCATCTGGTCACATAAGTGACCTTAACACTGGTTGACCTTATGGCTACAGGAATTAGGGTGCCAGCAAGTCAAAAGATACCAATCAGCCTCCTTCCTGAAATGCCAGTGATATGTTTATTAGAGGCATCACCATGAACTTGGATTTGCTCATCTGCAGTGCCAAAATAAGTAGTCAACCCATTCACTCTTGGGGCAAGGAAGTAACCAAGTCCAAGTTTATGTTGCTATGAGCTGCAAGGTGACTGGACAGAAGAATATCCATCTTACACAGCAATCCATTCTCCTTTGCATAGACCGTTTTCATGAAGCTACATGAGTAATAAGGTGAAGACAGTATAGTTACAACAAGAAAGACAAATAGGGAGCTTCTGCTTCAATAAGTCAATTTTCTCCTGCGGCAATTTTTAAAGCATCCTAAATAGGTTAACCTAACAACAGTCAAAATAAAAAGAGACAGAATGCTATCCTGCAATATGGAGAGAAAGAGTAACAAATTAAAGTGAGACTTAAATCTTCCCCGGATAGATGCAAGATATATATTATATCCAAGAGGAAGATAATTTTTTTTTTTTTTTTTACCTGTTTCTCTGAGAGAATGACTCTTCCTAAGAGTTGATTTTCAAGACCTTTCATGGTCACAGTGAAGTCAATGATGGAGGTCCGAGCACTAATTTCAGGAGAATAACATGGATTTGGCAGTTTTGTGGTAATGTAAAGTCTGAAACTCTTCATAACATCTATTTCTTTATCACCAATTTTCACCTTAAGAAAAGTATTAAAAAGAAGTGTTGAAACATCAAGCAGCAGTGCACACTTTCAGGTAAAGCATGTAGATTACATGCAAAAAGAAAAGGTAGGATCTTATTTATTTATTTATTCAAAGGCATAAAGATCCAGATTAAAATTGCAAGCTTTGTGCAAAGAGTTTATTGAGAATACCCTTGAAATTCTTTAGATGACCCACAGATTCTTTTGATTCTGATTTCTTCTACAGACAGAACACTTCACAAAAGCAAATGGAGATCTCAGTACCTGCTTTCTTTAAAAGACTATAACATAAGAACACTAAAGAACACTACAGGTTTAATATGTATTAACTAGTTGTGAGCTCAAAGTTAAATTCTACACATTTTTTGGTGTCGGTATTATTTAAATTTAAATATGGCTTCAATTCAACCTTTCAGAGATATATACTTAATAGGGCTAATTTTTGGATGGCTCACTGGAGTTTTTTTAGCAAAACAAAATTGAACAAACCTTTCTACCTTACCTTGTTGGCAGAACCTGCTTTAATGAAGTTTCTTTCCAAAATATTATCTAGTGCTGGGTCAAGTTCTTCTCCAACATCTTCTATCAAAAGAGGTCTTCCCAAAGAAAGGCTGTCTTCTAAATGATGTCTAAAATACTTGTGATTCAAAGAAGTGATCTAAAAATACAACAATGGACCTATACAGTATGCTCTGCTCATTTGCAAAATTTTTTGATTGTTTCTATGTATTATTTCATTTTATTCAAATAAATTACTAATAAGAATGACAATCCTACGATTAGTCTAGAATTAAGGCAAGGATTGCAACCAAAATAAAAGAGATTAGCATCAGTTTACCATATTCTTATGTGTTGTTGAATGAAAATCTATATTCTTCTATATAGGGAAGAAGTAAACCAACATTGAGCACTTCAATTTTGAGTTTAATATTGAATGAATCATTAATTTTTGCTTTAAAAGTAGTCCTCTGTAAAACTGTGATTAATTTACAGCATATACGGCTTTGTTGGTAACTCCACATGGCTAATCAATTGTTCACAGTAAGTGCTCTGCCTTGAGATACCAATCAAAATGAATGACAGGAGTTTCCTGTCATACCTTCAAAATAATTCTATTATCATCCTTCAATCTCCTCTCTATATTTTTCTGGAATATGTTTTTAAAAGGCTGTATTTCTGCTGTATTTATAAATGTAGCCAGCAAACACTTTATTCCTCTCATTCTTCCTGATGTGTCTTGCCTCAAACTATGTTTTAGGGCAATTACTGCCTTCACTGTACATTTGCAGAATATTTAGCACCTGACATTCACGTTAAGACAATACAAATTACTGGAAATTTCTGATTAACAGAGTATAACACTATCATGTCATTTATCCTCATTTTTATATATTTATATGAAGAGACTTGCACAATTTCAGATACCTTTCATTTATTTATATTTTTCTAATACTGAAAGCATTCACCAAATATTTCAGACCTTATCAGACACTACTCAATCAGTCTAAGAAAAAATATTTCCAGTAGCTTGTGTTTCATTAAAATAAATTCATTAAACAAATTGACTCTTTAGTATTAATAAGCTTCTAAGGTACATTTTCATAGTTACCTGAATCTTATATCTACCAATATAGAGCTGATAAGTCCTTTGTGCCCAAATTAGGCACTGTACAAAAAAAACTTGCATTTACTAGCTATAACTTGAATCACAGATTTGGCAAGCACTTTCTCAGCTAAGAGTTTCTAGGGATTATGAAAGTACCAACATTCTTATTACCTGAAGTTCATTTCCGCCTTCCTTATTTTTAATCCAAATTTTACCCTGTGCCTGAGGATCAATTAGTAATGGATAACGAGATGCTTTAGTGACAATGATCCCGTTCTGTATGGATAAATCATCATTTGGTAAACCTTGGAGGTTCCACTCGCTGACAGTTGGAGCATCAGCCAACATTTCTATAAGGTTCAGGTTGTTTCCACAGGGGATTTTCCGAGCTTTCATTTCCTTTTGCCAGTCATTTAAAAGTAGATTGCGGAACTCTTGGTTAAAGGGACCAGAATAGGAGAGGAAAGCTGTAGCCAACAATACATCACCTTAAAAAAAGAAAATGGCAAACAAAACATTATAATTTCATAAATTCTGTTTGTGAAGAAGGTGCTCCCTTTTCTTATTTTTATATTGTCTGGATGAGAGTTGGGAGAAGGCATTTCGCTCATAAGTGACACAAATCTTTTCCCCGGTACTCTAAAAACAATACTAAAACAACAGACAAACAAACAAAATCTAAAACAATGCTACATTTCAGCAGCTGCCATTCCTTACAGTGCAACTAAAGGAAGCATAAGAAAAAAAGATCATGTAGCACATGTAATATAACCCCTAACCCCAAACACCAAACCCTACACAGTCAGGACATGGCAGCAAAAACATACTTACAAACGTTCTGTTCTAACACTCCAACATTTCAGTGTATAAGCGTGGCAGTAGGCTAAAGCAATCATTTTGAATAAATAAATAAGCAAGCTCTGATGTAGGAGGGCTCATTACACACAAATCGATAACAATAATTACTACCAACTATATAAATTTTTAAGAGACATCATTATGAAGAAAGTTAGTGTTACATATTACACATGTTCACATTATCTGGTCAGCTTGAGAAGTCCCTTCCCTAAGTCTCAAGATACCAGAATTACTTTTCATAACTCAGAAGAATGCAAGTACCAATATGAAGATTGCTGTACTTGTATACAGACTAATATTTTTGATGCTTTTTCAAGAGAGAGAAAAAAGCCATGATAAGTGTGTAAACCTACTTACCTTTATAGGTTTAGTAATGTAACAACATACATGTAGACTATGTCATGACCAGAGTGCAACTGTGACTACCTGTCTCACAGAATTTCAAGGCAAACATCAGTGTTATTTAAGACCACAATAAAGGACAAGATAGGTTTCATTTAATTTGTAAAACTAATCAATACATCATTTTCTACAAACTACTAGAGTTTCCAGGCATTTATTTATAAAATCAAAACATACTTTTCGGAAACAGAAAACTTACGAAAATTAGTAGTTGCATTGAAAATTATTCACTTCTACAAATATATATAAGTACCTGAATATCAGTCTTTGCCACCTCTCTATATAATTGCATTCTCAGTTATAGACATTTTACTCGTCACTTGCTAATATACCATCCACTTTTGACCACTGATAACTAAAATTTCAGTCCATCAGCATCTCAAATACACACAGAATTTCATACATGTCATGTGCATCTTATGCACAAATACATATAGTGTTATTGAGTTATTTTTTTTTCACAATGTCAGTCTCATACTGCTTATTTTATTCCTTTGTTTTAGTAAGACGATTATCAACAATTATTCTCATTTTAGCAATAGGTAAGTGAGCGCTAAAGATAGCGGTTTGAAATTCACATCAAAGGCTTAATTTTCACTCCTGGTAACAGCCCCAGTGACTAACTTACTTCCAGGTTCAAAGGTGTGGATAAATACCTACCCACTAGCCTCTTGGTTTGTACAGCAAATTCTTTGCTCTGTTCTGTCCACCTCTCTTTTTCACCTGCCAGACCACTTATAAGACTTGATGCAGTTTGCATTTTATGACGGCAGCGTTCAGCATCTTCAAGCAAAGTCTAGGTTAGACCATACCAAGAAATATGGTTTACAATTATGTATACGAGAGGGCAGGACAGCCTCTGCACCCAACGAAACCAGCAGTTAAACAACAGTCCAAAAAACTGTTTTTGAACATTTACTGTGTTGTTATATAGGGAGAGAGAAGGATGATCTGGGCAAACTATCAACATCTATCCTAAAAGTAATTGAACTTCTTTTCTGAAGAAATTCAGTTTTCATGTTGGTATACGTGTTATAGGGTGTGTGAAATTAATTCCAATAAATTTTGCCTAGAATTTCAATACATTACATATTGTACATACATTATATACTGTACACATACATTAAAGAAACTTGATGTTACAGTAGTAGGCACTATAAACATCACCACAAATAAAATATTTTTTGGCAGGGTGGTGGGCAGCAGGCGTTGAATACACACAGAGAGAGCATTTAAATAATCTATTTCTGTAAAGACAAGTTCACCTGCTTTTCTCCCATGGCTTTTTCGTACTCCGCCTGCACAACATCTAGTTCTTCTTGCTTGGCACCTAGTTCTGCTTGAGCTTTCTGCAGATCTAGCATAGCAGTTGTTAGGCGATTCTCCTGGATTGCCAAATTAGCCTGTGAAGCATACAAATACAAAGTGCATTCACACATATGACATAAGACATCTCAGAATATTTGGTAAAAAGTATTTCAGATAGATTTATACTGCACTACATTTGGAAACCAGCCTGCTCAGTAGGATTTTCATCTTCATTACAACCTTTTATTTTGATTTTACAGTGGATTAACGTCTTTCTGCTACCAACTTTTTAAGTAGTTGATCTAAAATCACTTAGGGAAAAAAATGAAAATAAAATTCTGGTAAAGGTGGTCCTTTTCCAAATCTTACACAAAAATTAGTGTGATTTGGCCTGCAGAAAGACTGGTGTCACCAAAAACCTGTTTACTGTCTCCATATAATATCACTTTGTCTACTAAAGATACTACAACCACCCACAAATCTTGTTTCACACTATGCCATCTATTCTACAAATATAAAGTTACTTGATGCTAAAGTCATGTTTGACCATGCTCTTTTCTTGACCTCCTTTCTTACCTTGCATTGACTATTTAGGCCTGTTATTCTCTAAATAACACTGCCAAGAGTCTTAATACACTCTACTTATGAATTTAGATAATGAATATTAGAAGAACCAAATCTTGACATTTTTTCTTACTTAATTAGGGTAAAGCAATTGCAATAGTGAATTGAATTATTTCTGCTGCTTCAACCCCATTCAGAAGGGGCCCAGAGGCATAAAAACTGCATAATCTCTTTAATGATCTTGACAGTTTACAAGTGGCAGCATATTTCAAGTATATTATAGTGTAGCGTTATGATAATTCCTACAGAGGCATTCACCAATTGGTATATAAAGCAGCTGATGTTTACACCCCATAAAATCCTTAATGGCACACACTGTCTCCCACTGATTAGCAAATTTACCTTTAAGGGTAATACTTCTTTGTTGATGGAAAAAAATATAGCCATAGCTTTGGTCCATGAACAAAGGCCAGCAACATTCCCACATACTCGCTTAGCTGTCTCAATGTTGTAGTCCATCATTTCAAAATAAGGGCTCAAAAGCTCTACCACTTCTTCATTAATTGTGTCTTTTGGAAATTGCTGCAAAAATGTGTGAAATAGATGTACTGAATGTAAAATACAGACGATATATGTATAACATATATGTACTTTAACATACAAGGACACTACCGAGATTACAAACGTTATTTAGAAACAGCTGATATAAAGTCCTCCGTCTCACATATTTTTGAGAATTCACCAGCACTGTTCTATCTTCTCTCTTCTTACAAACTGATTTACCTTTCTTTGTGATCCTCACTGCCATATATTAACCATTAAGTTAACATAATTAAACCACAGTGTAAATTCTACTCAGACCATGTCTATAATTACTTTTTTTTTAAAACTACTGAATAATTGTCGATAAAATGAGAGGGTAAAGCTTAGCTCTGGTTCAAAGAAAAGCATTCTACAAAAGAGTCCTTTCAATGGGCAGTCAGGTACTTTTCCCTCAAATTATGTTAACTTATCAGTGGGATCTATTTCTGTATTAATAATTTGTTTTGATCCTCTCTTTTCTCCAGGCATCTCTTCCATTATCTTTTCTAAAAGGTCTCAACATTGCCAAATAATCTGTAAGTATTGATTTTTCTTATATGGATTACTTACAAGGTAGAATAAAAGTATTTCATTCACAAAATTCAGATATGGCTCTTTCCTGAAGCACAGATATGTTTATTTATGCGCAAGAAATAAAGATTTGAAGCCCTAAAGTAAACTATAAATCCTCTCATATGTAGATGTGACATGAATGCTATATAAATCATATTCATGGCACTACCAACCATACAGAGATGTTCAAGTGTGATTTCCCACTGGACCAGAGACAGGAATGCCAGACAACAACTTCATAGAAGCTGGAACTGGCTTCGTTTATTAGCTTTTCATGCAGTACATTTATATGATTCTTAACAATTAGTGATGTAATTACACAGGCTCCTAATTGGTAGACAATGATCTAACTCAGACCCTTACAGCCCCCCTTACTTGTTTAGCTCATCCTTTTAGTTCAACAGCTCTTTTATTCCCTCTGACCTTGGTCTACTTTCTTATCTCCTAGTTAGCACTCCCTTTGTTCTTTCACTGAAACCTGAAGGCTGGAATTGAGCAGGCCTGCTGGGCAGCCATGTACGCGGCTCTCTAGCCATCCCTCTACACTCAGACCATGTCTATAATTACTTTTTTTTTAAAACTACTGAATAATTGTCGATAAAATGAGAGGGTAAAGCTTAGCTCTGGTTCAAAGAAAAGCATTCTACAAAAGAGTCCTTTCAATGGGCAGTCAGGTACTTTTCCCTCAAATTATGTTAACTTATCAGTGGGATCTATTTCTGTATTAATAATTTGTTTTGATCCTCTCTTTTCTCCAGGCATCTCTTCCATTATCTTTTCTAAAAGGTCTCAACATTGCCAAATAATCTGTAAGTATTGATTTTTCTTATATGGATTACTTACAAGGTAGAATAAAAGTATTTCATTCACAAAATTCAGATATGGCTCTTTCCTGAAGCACAGATATGTTTATTTATGCGCAAGAAATAAAGATTTGAAGCCCTAAAGTAAACTATAAATCCTCTCATATGTAGATGTGACATGAATGCTATATAAATCATATTCATGGCACTACCAACCATACAGAGATGTTCAAGTGTGATTTCCCACTGGACCAGAGACCGATTAATTAAGCTCTCGGTGTGATTATAATTGCACGAGTTTATCATTAGTGAAGAGGAAATATTTAACTGAAGAAGAAATTTTAAAAGTTATTTATATGCTTTGCATTATAAGGACAAAATTCCTCAAAATAAATAAACTGGAATTAATGACAACTAGCGATACAACACAAGGTATGATTTGTTCTCCAAGATTAACAGTCTAAATAATGCAGTAACTCCGATTTATTCACCAGTTACTCTTCCCGTTACTATATTTACATTCTATGAAGCTGAAAATCCCAAATTTTCAAAATTCTTATGTTGTACATCCTAATCATCACCCATTTTTATGGAGGTCACTACACAGTATACAAACCTGAAAGTTAAATTAAAAATAAGGGTCAGAAAACAGATGTTTCAAATAAGATTTAAGTAAATGGATAAGTAACAGCTATTCAAATGCTTAGAGCTTTAAATCATTTGTCGTTGAAGGCAATTTCATTACTTAGCACAAACCGTAATTGATTTATGACATGAGTTTGCCTGACAGATTCAAGTTTATTTCATTATGACATACTGATTTTTAAGCCTTTATTGTTTCAAGTATGTTGTATATCTAATCTGATGTGCATTTGTTCTCTGATGAACAATACAGAAAACGCTTTCCTCGATTTTCTTCAACTGAAAGAAAACATGGAAGAAAAGGTTATAGATGTACCTGTAAGTTTTGTAAAAAGTTCCCTGCTGTCATCAGCTTCAAAGATTCTTGCCATGATGGGATGATAGAGCTTTTCTCCTGATCAATCTTCACATTGTTCAATTTTCGTTGGAAAAGCAGTAACACACAATCCATGATACGCATAATAAGGTGAGGAGGTCGACCCAATGTGCGGACAGTAGCAATATCTGCAGGTTTTATTGTCTATAAAGTTCAAACAAAGAAAAAATGCAATTATTGTGATTGCTCCTTTAATAAGGCATGGGGCACAAGTTCATCCAAAGGAGTGAAAAATATATTATTCTTATTATTTTTGCTCCAAAATGATTTTACCTCCAAATGTGTAAGCTATGCCCCTGAGGAACCTAAATGCTTAAAACTACCATGCCCTTCTCTTTTATATTTGTCAGATTTGTTATATATTTTTAAATGTGAATATTTGTTGTAGAAGGAAACCTTTGAGAAAATTAAATAAATTGCAATAATGTATGAAAATCTAGGCCCTATTAAATATGAGTGAGGTGCAAAGGGTGCAAATCTAATAGCATATCTTGTAATTGCAAGGTTCATCACAAATCAAGAGGGACACAACTGAAGTGTCCTTAGAGATGGAGGGACTTGAAAGGCAGTGTGTACTGAACCATATAAACAGCAGCAACAGCCCTCTCCCAGAACACGTACAACTTGGACAGGAGGTTTGCTCATTTGCACGTAGCTGGCTCAGCCTGGGTACATGACAGAGAGAAGTCATACATAATCAGGTATTGCAAGAGATATAACACCGTAAGTTCATTCTTAGGCATCTACCTACCACTCACCTCACTGAGGATTCATAAAAGAAGATTTTAAATATCGGTGGCTATATTTTATGAAAGGGATTGTAAAATATTTTAGTCACTAGATCACCTTCCTTTTTTTACCCTTCCAATAGCTTGCTGTTTGCTGGGTTCCGCAGGCAC